CCTTCCCCCTCCCCCACCCAATAATTTTTAAGCCTTTGGAAATCTGAGTTCTGAAAAAACAGCTCTTTTCTCCTTGATTTTGCATTAAGTTTTGATAGGGAACGGACCAATCTGAGAGCAGAACCTTTATTAGCAAACTGAAGAAGATCAGATCCTTTACTGGAAGATATTAGACACCGCAGGATTTTTTGGCATTTGAGCAGACTGAAGGCGTTGTTTTAATTTTGTGTTTGTTTCTCACTATCCAACCTATTTTAACTGGCAATAAATTAATCTTCCATAAGTCTGTTTTGCCCATGACGGTGACTGGTAAGTGGTGTCCCCTTCTTTATCTTGACCCATAAGCTTTTCTATCTTATTTTCTCCCCCTGTCCTGTTGAGGAGGAGGAGGAGGAGGAGTGAGAGAGCAGCTGAGTGGGCGTCTGGCAGCCCACCACAAGATGCAACAGAAAAAACAGCCTGCAGGAAAAGGAGTCCCCGCCCACCTTGTGTGGGTTGTCTCTTCTTTTTGTTCAATGTAAGGATAAGATTATCACTACACTTGCCCCCACAGTCATCACCACCTCCTGAGACTACTGCTAGTTTTTTGCCAGAAGCGACCAGTATCCAACATTCAGGCTTCCTTTTGTATCTCTGATTATCTTTGGAGTTAGCATCTCATGGTCATTCCTTGTTTTCAGCTCTCCGGTTTCCTCTGCTTGACCTCAGCTTATGCTGAAATAATTACAGACCCTCTAATGCCTGGACACCGCCTAATAATTCAGCTGATTTAGATTTGCATATTCATTAGTTTTCAGGCACCCAGAAGGAAAGGAGGAACCAATTACTGCATTGAGTCTTCCCTTGACAGATGGAATGACTTCTCTTCCTTTACTGCCTACATAAAAATACTACTCTTGGACTACTTCTATTATAATTCTGTTTCATTAAAAGTCATTGCTGGGTTTCCACGTGATTTGTGAAATAAGTAATTTTAAAAGCAGAGAAACCAACAGACCAGGACACAAAGCAAACCTGTATCAGGTCAGGAGGTTCAGATTCTAGCTCCATCTCAGCTCTCCCCTCCAACAAATGATCATTGCTGAATTTTGTGAAGAAATACCTTAACTTATGGCTTCTAGACTTTTGTGTTTAGGTTTGGGTTTTCTCTGTTTTTAATCTTGATTTTTCACAGTTAAATTGATTTTTTCAAGTTGTGCCATAGTTTTTTGATAGTTTCTGATATTTTTTTCTTGATAAAGTTTCATTTATTTATATATTCGAAAGCAAAAAAAAAAGGTTCTACTTTTCTAACTGATGGTCTTTCCCATCATCCCCTCCATCTTTATTAATTTTTTTGTACTTTGTAGAGAAATGAGCTAGCTACAGAAGTCAGTACTTCTGATAACTTCAGTGAGCTCTCGGAAAAGTCCTAAAGGCTCACACCTTCCAGACAGAGCTAATATTCTGGCTGGAACAGCTCCCAAAGCAGGCATGTTTTAACAAGTACACCTGTGATTAAGCTGAATTGTGAAATCAGAAGTACACAGAACTGGAAGGCCCCTGACAGGTTTCTAACTTTATTCAGCAAGGTAAACAAGCACAGGCAGGTGCAAAATCCTGCTAGAACTTTTTGAGGCCCAGCTCTATTTAAAAGGAAGGAATCCAGCCCTGCTGAAATCAGTAATTGGTCTTTGTCTCCAACCGCAGGGCAGTGTGATGTGCAGCTGCAGGGGTTAGAGATGGCATGAGGAATCCAGCAGCACACATGGCCCCCTAATGCGGTGTAATGGGTGTCCGTATCCAGGTGTTGGCAGCAGGGGTGGCCTCTGTGAGAAGAGGCCAGAGCAGCTGGGTAGGCGTCTGCCAGCCAGCCAAGGTCAACCCACTACATATGGACAAAGAGCAGTTGATCCTCTTCTAAGAAGGACTGGCCATTGTTCCCAGAGCCCAGCCCACCTGGCCCCCAAGGCAGTTAGGGCTGTGGGTAGTTCCCTTCCTTTTCTGCTGTTTTTCCCAGCACAGACCTCACTGGGATAACCCTGCCACATCAAGGGCTACAACACCTGGCTTGAGCTTTCCATCACAGGGATGTCCCAACTCACTTAGAAACAGAGTATATGCCCCTACAGGCCCTATTTGCCTGTATTCATGGTATCATTGTTGTGAGAGAAGATAGAAGGAAAAAGCTTTTCTCCCCCCAAAATGTCTTCCCCTTCATCCTGGAATGTGTAACATCAAACACGGCAGACAGTTCAGTCTGGCCCTTTTCTGAGGGCTTCAGTTTTACTGCATCAGCGAAAAGCTAATCCAACAAACATCTCTACCAACGCCTGTTCCAGCTTGATCTCTTCTGAAAGAGGCTTATCTCTTTACCATGGTACAGCCTATGAGACTCTGTTTCCTCCTCCTCTTCTCCAGAGTCCAGCCCAGGCAAGAAAGGGAGGGTACAGGTATCCCCAGTGCCACACTACATTCAGGACACTGTGGGCTCTAGGAGAGTCCACAGGCTCAAGGGGAGGCTGGACAAATTCATGGACTATAACTATACCCAAAGTTATTAAATACAAAGACACCACCTCTAAGGCTGTGGAAGTCCCTGAGCTTAAATGGTGGAGACTGGTGGAACACCTGCAGGAAGTACTACCCTGGGCTTGCCATACTCATACCACTGCTGGAGATAGGATTCTGAGCTGGGTGGCCTTGTAAAGCTGGTCTTCGGTTCCTATATATTGTCACTGTTGAACAAAATCTGTTCCAAATTTTGTTGAATCTAGATAAAAGTCATAAGAAAGTTGTGTCCTACAAACCAAGCCCTTTGTAATAGCCTTCCTCTCTTCTAGCTATCAGTTACACGACTATTATGTCGATTTTCAATGTCACATTCATGTAACTTGCTTTGAAGGGGGAATTAATAAAACAAGTCTGGTTGTCTCTCCTGGCAACTCATTTTTGCAAAGAAAATGTGCCTTTGTAACAGAGTGTTTTTGTGTGGATCGAATGTCAGCATTCTTTGAGGTTTTGAAAAACATTTGGGAAAGATATTACAGCAGAGAAGTCACCTCTGGTAGTTATATGCCAGCTTTCTTTTTGCTTTCCAGGTCAGGATTGAATGATTCAAAAGGAATAGCTTCAGACAGCATTTAATTTACCTCTTTGACTGCATAATAAAAATGTGACATCCAGGAATGATGGGTAGAAACTACTGTTGGTCTAGTTAAATTGTTGATTCTGTCTTTCCTCTGTATCATTGTCCTATGACATCGATCAAGATCAGAAAAGTTAGAATTTTTCTCATGTGACAAATGTAGTTTTGTCAAAATTATATCCTTCTGTTCTTTAACTACTAATAGAACATGCACAGTCTTCACAAAACATTACAGAAGAGACAATGAAAATGTTATTTTTACCATTTTTTTACCAATTTACCATTGCTCTTTTACTATTTCCTAGCTTTTCATAACATTTAGTAATTCACTCCATAGTCCGATTGCCCAATGAGAAGATGTAGAGTCTTTTATTAATTGCAGAAGAATCCAGGACACTCTGAATGTTTTCAGGCTCCTGGAATCACTGAGATGACCATAAACATGCTCAGATTTAATCAGTACATTAGCACAGTGCTTCTAATGACCTTACATAATTTTTTTTTCCCCTTTTTTGTACAAACTTCATAACTACTCCAAAGATACCTGGAAAAGGAGGGATGCTAAGAAAATTACCTTACCTCTGTTAAGATGCTGTCTGCACTGGCACATTGAATCTAGGTTATGAGCTTGAAAAATTGCATTCATCGCCATGACACCAAATACAATTTTGTAATCAGTTTGGACGAGGACCTATCTTGCTTAGTAACTCCATCAGCTGTCCATGGCTAAAACATGAGTTAGTGTTACTCAACATAATTCTCACAGACATTAGCTTACATTAGAGGGAACATACGCCTTCATCCATCCATTCCCATTTGTGATACCACATCTGAGCAAAGTGATGTATTTTGAAAAGATTTTTTGAGACCATTTATTTAGTGCCTTATTAGTTCTGTACATTTCTGGATGGTTTTCTCAACAGAAAAAATGACAAGACACAGTTCAGCCTTCTTAAGATGCATCAACATACCATGCATACTAAAGAGCCTTTAAAGAGACTAGTAGTTTCAATATATAGTTTCTTGTTAATTAAGTTATTTATAAATGCTTCCCATTTATCTCTGTTGAGATATCATTTCTTTGCCAATAATAGTTAATCTGAAGGCAGTTTGAACTGGTTTTTCCAATAGCCAGATGGAGTAATAACCTGTACAGCCTCACCTCAGACCCTTAGCACAGATAGCTATTAAAAAATAACGGTAATAACAAGTAGAATTATTATTGTTGCCAAGCATAAGTATCCTTTTTATATGTAGTTTAATTATCCCTTTCTGCTATGAAATCTTTTTAGGTTACACATATTATGAAGTAGAAAGGTTATAAAAATCATAAATATCAGACCAGGAAAAGCCGTAGCAGCACTAAATCAATCCATGGCTATTCTGTCTGAGGAACTGACAGAGCTGGACCTTTGGGGTCATCAAATCTGCTGTTTGTTGTGAGCTGCATGATCATATGGATTCCATAGGCCAGGATCCACAGTAAAACTATAGATGTCACCAAGCCCATCCAGATTCCAGGAGTGAAGAAGCCTGTACAATCACTTGCATAGGAAAACTGGTTGTTTTCAACGTTGAAGCCTTGAATCTGAGAATGAAGAAAGGTAGATAGAGGAGTGCAATTAAATACGGACTGTAGGGCCTACTTTCAGAATATATGTGGTAATTACAAAAAACGCACCTGTTAATTAGCACTCACACTCTGCCCATTAAAAAAGAGTGAGAACCAAATCCTTTGCATAACAATTTTCCAGGTCTCCTTTCCGCCCAGGAGATTAAAGATGCACAAGTCGTTTGTTTCGCAAGAGGTAGGTTCTGTTTCCCACTTCAGAAATTTGTGTTACTTTTAGAAGTAAAGTCCCAAAGAGGACGCGTGATCAGTATTGCTCAATGACCACTTCAGAACCAGGAAACTCAAAGCACCCAAAGGCCTGAGAGTTAAGGCCTCCCAGATCATAAGATTTGTTGAAATACCCTGAGATTTTTAGCTAATAACTCCTTGACAAGCAGAACTCCTGAAACCTACTTTAAAATGCATCTAATGAAGATGACCTTTTTGGCTGAGTTTTCGTGAAAGTTCAAGGAGAAAACAGTTGTGAAACCTTTCTTCCCCCCTCCTTAGACATCAGAGACTCAAAACAGGACAGAGGGCTTGCTTTATTGAGGAGTGGGATCTGTGTTGTCTATTAACATATGAAACCTATATAAGCTTTTCCAGCAGTTAGAAAAATTCTGTAATATCTCTCCTTTGGATTCTCGAGGTCTGCCACTGACTGAGCTCCTGCTGTATTATTTTCCTCAGAAAAATCAACTAACTTGGGGATCTATTCTCTGCCTAGCCAGCAATTTTGCAAAAAGTATCAACAAACTGAATGTCTTTGAGACAACTAACCTTCTAAAAATTTTGTTAAAACCAGTCAAAGGATTAGAAAACTATGCAGAAAGGGAAGACAATCCCCCCTCTACACACATGCACATAATGACATAAGCACTGATTCCTTCAGAAGGAAGGGAATCTAACTGGTGGAAGAAAATGAAGGAAGGAAAGAATTAACCTGATCTGTGTTTTTGAGTCTTTCTTAAATAATTTTATAAAGAAAAATGAAGACTGGGATTCTTATGTATTTACAGATTCTTTGAAATGTGTGCGTAAGGAAAGCACCAAACATTATAAATCCACCAGTAAAGAAACAAGACCTTAAAACTGATATTATAGAATAAAATAAAAAAAAGATTATTTTATTTAAATCACTTCCCTCACCAGGCAATGAGCAAGGAAGCAGAAGATCATGGATTTCTACTTTTCTATGTTCCCATTTCATGACTACTCAATGCTTTACGATAAACTAAATGGAAAGCTTTGTGGTAATAAAAGAGTTTGTACTTCCTAGGAAAGGTGTTGGTACAAACATTGAAGAAATTAGTCTGTGACTTGCATACCATGCTACACCAGTAAGCACTCGGGGTTTGAGTTCATTCACGGCTCAGACACCTAAAGTTAATGTGTGTTAATATAATATGTGTGTTAAGATCAAGGTCTATACCCTCCAGAATGCTGATTAATAAAACTATTATCATATGCAGAACTAGGGGCTCTTTAGGTACTGTGGAGGTGAAGACAATTTTAGCAATTCAAGCTTTTCTGGGCGTTTTAGAAGAATCTTTCCAAGTCAGATCATGGTAGCTAACTTGCAAATACTGCCTGCTTTCACTATAGGCAGTCAGACTTCTGATTAAAGCAGGATTAGCAAAAATCAGCTTTTGGGTTGGGTAACTGCTTGCACAGTTTTAGAGAATACAGGTGATTACCAAAAGCCTTCGCTTGTTAAGCCACTGCTTTGACAACAGATGAGAATGTGAATAGGAGTCATGAAATGTAGTCTGAAAGACTTATTTACAATAGAAACAGAAAGCAGGTGATGATTTATGTAATTTATGTTCAAAAAATGGATTGAAATTCTGGAAAACAATACACACTTGTTACCACATTTACAAGAACTCTCTGAAGCACTTAACAGGTATATTTGGTTTAGAAAGGCTTTACCACTTCTGATTTAGAGCCAGAAATACTGAATTTTACTATGTCAATCCTATTGGGTATTTTTTGAAGCAGGATTATGCTTATTGAACCTTCGAAGTGAAAGCTTTAATTGTATGTTCTTAAAATGCTATGTCTACTTTTAGGTGGGACGTGAAGTATATGCAGGGTTCCTTTATTGTTTTTCTGAAGCTTTATCATTTCTGTGGGCGTGTTAGATTCCAGGTGGGAGATAAAAATGTGACTCCGAGCAGCATTTCTACCTATAGAAAAGTTAAAAATACTTACATGTGTTTCTCTAATTTTTATGAATGTAAAGCCTTTTAGATACAGGCCTCTGTACTGCAGAAGTTTTAATTTTAGTGTTTGGGCCAGCATCGTTTGTCTTTGTTATACTAGTCTGCATTTACTGTTAATTTTTAAAATATTTTTTTGAATGGAGTTTTCTTGTCATTTGGCCTTTGACAAAGCCTTCAAGTAAAACCTGTTGTTTTCATGGCTTAAGTGTACACCGAACATCTAATTTTTGAACTTAGAAATATTTTAGCCACAAAAAATCCTATATTATTGATTTTAAAGTTTTTGGCAGTTTTTCTTAGGAACAAAGGGGCTTCTAAACCAGTAGGACACATACTAAAGAAAAACAGTGCTTTTGGTGGCAGCCTCCTCTTTAACTTCACAGACAATTCTGAGATCCTCAAAAGGATAAAAGGTATCGCGGTAGAACAACCATTCCTGTAACAGCAACAACAAAATCAACAAAAATCCCCACCAATACCAGAGCAGTTTTGACACTGTGTACAGCTACGAGTGGTGACATCCTAGGCTATGGGCACGCCTAGACAGCATCCCACAGAGGTTCTTTAGGTGGTAGTGACTGAGCTAGCTCCAGAACTAAAGTAAAAGGCTGCATCAGTTCAGCCTTGCCTTGGAACAAGCTATGCAAGGCTTCACTGTGCAGGTGCCGTGTCCCTCTAATACAGTGATACTGTTTTCAGGACCCAACTTCGCGAAGTGCAATTGTACCAGCTAGATTGGCATTGGATCCTGGTTTCTAATTCATTGCATAACATTGACATGAAAATCACGTTCCTCAGTTTCAGCAACAAGATTTTGTGCTGGCTGCAACCACTGAACACATTCCATGTGCCTTTTTCACCGTGCAACAGAGCTTGGGGCTTTCTAAACCTCATTCTAGAACAAAGACTGATATTGAGATCAATCAGATTTCACTACATATCAGTGGAAGATATCTGGAAAGGAATGATCTAGTTCAGACAGAACTTAGAAACGAGCCCAGAATGTGACTTTCTGTTTTCTCACACAACACAAAAGATCAGAACAGGACATTCCAGGTTGTGTTCCATGCTTAGGACTTGATCAGAGAAAAAGGCCTTTCCCAAGAGGAACTGGAAGTTCTGTTGTCTGAACAGTGGAAGCAGCTGCTGCTCCAAATCAATAAGGAAGGTGGGAAACCTACTACTTCTACTCTTGATCAAGACCCCAATGAAAGGATGCCGACTAAGGATGGAGCAAGGCCTTTCCCTAAGCTTTGAGAAGGCAGCAGTATCAATGTATATAGAAATTCAAGGAAAAGGTATGTTGTAAGTGGAGGCTTTGTGTTTTCATAGCCCATGTACTTTCATAGCATAGTGATGCCAAAGTCTAACTTCACAGAGTGACTAGGCAAAGTACAGTTGTGTGGACTCAGATATTTTCAGGCCTTTCCATAAAAAATACTATCAGGAGGAACCTTCACAACATCAGTGTGTATTGCTATGTTGCTTCTCAAAAAACTGTGGGACTTGATCCTGGAATTTGTGGAAAATAAATCTCGGCACCAATGCTGTTCCTTTGAGATTTCTGTTGTTTAAGCAGAAGTGTCAAATCTGGACTCAGATTATTGAGATTTTGTTTGTTATCGAAATCATAAATACAACTATAATCAGCATTTGTATCCAGTTATCATGGGGTTAGCTCATCTTTGACAAATAGAGTCCAGTTTGGAATTATTCCTATCATTTCCATGATCTCTTTAATCAGAGAAATCCCTTAGTGCAAAGATATAAATTTAAAGATATATTTAAGATATAAATGTTGATGTGCTTCTCCTAAGTCAAGATCAATGCTCGAAATAATAAAGTTATAATCATCTACACCTCACATATGTAGTCTGTACTCAATACACATAAAATCTATGCCTCATTCAAAAAAAAACCCAGGCAACTCCTTTCCTTCTGGGTCATGCAGGACCTAGTACTGCTCCCAATTGAAGTCCATGGCAAACGTTCCATTAAATCTAATTGCATTGGGCTTTGTTTCTGTCTGTAGGAGTACAGACAGTCTATGTCACTGAAAACAGTAACCACACTAAGCTGTACTTTCCTAGGTAAACAAAGTGCAAAGAAATCCAATAAAAACTAAGTAAGCAGCATAAAGCCACCCACCTAAGAGGCCCATGTTTCCAATAGCAGCCCAATTCATTAAACAGGCATGGGGACTTAGTCATTCTTTGCCTGATTAAGCGCCTTTGGTTTTATTGTTTTTTTCTTTTCTGTGGACAACTTCATAGTTTTCTGTTTTTCAAAGTTGTGCTTTCGTGTTCTTATTGTTCAGCAACTGCTGACTTTTTTACCCCTTTATTGAATAGCTCACCTAGGGGGAACAGCTTTTCTTTTACATTTTCCCTCGGGCTGAAATGAAAGTAAGGGCATTATGAATGTGTTCAGCACCTACAATAGCAAGTAATAGTTCTTGGAATTATCTCTGAAATGGCAATGTGTACTCACTTGCAACCTGGAAATGAAAACATCCCAGTTTTTTGCCTCATTGTTGGACGGAATCAGCCTTGCAGGATAGAGATTGCTTGTTCCCACCAGCTGACAATGAAATGAATACTCTGCAGGAGCAGAGATGACAGAAACATTAAATTTAGCAAACTTTTCTCCATCTTGTACAATCTCAATGGAATCTAAAGTGGACCAATTTCTAGCCGAGACTCCATAGAACTTGTTGGTCATTAAAAACCTAGAAAGACAACAGAGGGGAAAAAATAGTCAAAATGACAGAAGGAAAAAGTTAATATTCATTTGATAAAGTACTGGTGGCAAACAAAGGTTCACTGTTGCTAGCTGCAAACGTCACAGTTGGTATCTTAGCTTGGCCTTGCATGTCATTAGCATTGCTCATAAGTGAAGAGTCTCTGTGAATATGTTTTTACTACTTCTTAGAGTTTCATCTCACAAGCACAGCTTTCCATAGCTGTGGCAGGCAAGAAGCAAATGCGATTTCATTCTTCAAGGGCCTCTGCCAGTGCAGTATTTCATCAGTTACCAATCACTGGAGCAGAACCTGAGACACTGTCAGTAGGCCTGCAGTGGCTCTCAAGAAACATTTTGTGGGATTTTTTGAAAATTGCTTTTATGATAGGTACAGGCATGATAACCATTCTGATTTATTATTGCAATTCTTCCTTGGCTCAGATGCCTAAATGGCAATTTCCTTTGCAAATGTCTGAATTTGCAGTGGAAGACAGTTTTCTCTCACTGGAGGGTGGGGAGGGGTCGTCAACCCTAGTTTCCCCATTTGTAGTGGGTTTGCCACAAATAAATATTTTCTCATTTTGAAAAGGTCTGTGTATGTGCAGTATTGCAGCAGTTTCCAGTAGTTTATAATGATGGGATTTATATATATGTTACTACCACTGCAATCTGAACACCTCCCAAATGTTCTGGAACAGAAATAATTGAGAACATCCAGAAGTACATCCTGATCCTTTACAGATCAGGACTATGTCCTAGTCTTTACCACTTTTTACCCAGTTACTTTTAGGTATTCAAGTTATCTCATAAGGAAATTGTAAACTTTTCTCTGTATTGTATGTTGCTTAATACTTTAACCCTACTTGGTATATGTATGTATTGCTCTATATAATTTGCTGAAGTTTTTGTTGCTTTTTGATAACAAAGAATTTAGAAGAGGAATCTTTTTAGCAATAAGTGAGACTTCCTACAAAATGAAATATTCAAATATGTCTATCCACAATGGGTAACACTGTATGTGGATTTTAAAATTTGGGGTAATACTTAGATGAAATTATGACAAGTTTAAAAAATAAGCAGTCATCTATAAATGTGGCACAATATAGAATATTTTATGTTCTATAGGGTATATGTAGATACAGAAAGAATATGCTCTGTTGTAGGATATTGCTTGTTTGTTCAAATCAGTTGCTTTCAGTAGCATGTCATCCACACAACGTAGAGTCTAAACTCAACACAAACAATGCTCCTTAGGACTAACACACAAAATTTGACAGGTTAGGTTACTACAGTAATTGAGCCTTTTTCTTTTTTTTAAATAATCTGTGGCTTTTGATTCACACAATTTCATAATCCTCAAGAGTTTCAAAATGCTCAGAAGGAATCCTAGAACTCAAAGTGTCATTCGGGTGAGAAAATGATGTTTTATCTTATGGCATTCCTTATGTTTTGAGCCTAAACAGCTCTTTCCATACAACATTCAGCTGCAAGTATCAGTGAAAAAGAAAAAAAATTTGAATTTCTTCTAGTACACGTTCACAAATATTTATGGAAAATATTCTATTGTTATAGTGATAAAGTTACAAAATTAAAACATGTATTAGCATAGATATTAATTGCTAGAAGAAAGGAATCTTTTCCTGATACACAGCACAATCTGAACAGAATTTCCATGGTGTCTCAGTAGCAATGCTATAGGCATTAGCTGGAGGCCAGTTAAAAGCACAGAGGAGCTTACTTAAATGTTTGTGCAACCACAGATGCTGGGTGTGTGCTCTGTACTTTTGCTGAGAAGATAAGAAAAGCGGTAAACAAGGAAATTCTTTGGAGACTTACCATATGAACAAACAAGTTTTATACGGCTATGTATGTGAGTACAGTCTAAAGTGACCTCCAAGAGAACGCTGTCTCTTCACGTTGCACCACAGACTAAAATTTTATGTTACTTGCAGATTTATGAGAATTAAGATTCTAATTAGTGAATTAGTTGAGCATGGTTAACTTAATAATACAGGCTTTTATCCTTAGCATTTTTCCAAACATTTGTGGAATTTTTCACACATTAAGTGAATAGCCTCCAACAAGCATGCACTTAACTGATAACTGATACAACTATAATTCATTTAATTACAAAAAATACATTCAAACAACAAAAATCAATAGAATTACTTTGTTTAGTTTAATATTTTCTCAGACGAGTAGATAGCAAATAGAATGAGCACAATATAGCAAATGAATGGCAAAGGGAGGAGAGATAACAAAGATTATATCTGCAAATTTGAAAGTACCTTGGCTTTTGTAGGAAATGCTGTGTTCGTATTAAACATTAGAGCCAATACAGGAAGCAAACTTTCACATAGACGTTATGTGCTTTATGTATTGTGGCACAAACAATTCCTGGTCACAGGCCAGACTCCCTTTGTGCCAGATAACCATATGAACTCCAAATGCCACCACCTGTTACTGGTCACCGTCTCATGTGACTATTGATTACAAGGAGAGATATTTCTGAAAAGGAAGCTAGCTGGAATTACTACCATTTCAAAGATTCAAAGAGAAACAACTGTTAGGTAAAAGACTTTGAAACATGGTTCTTGGGTCAGTTCTATTCTATACATCCCATGAGCAACAACAACAGTCAGGTACTTATCAAGGTAAGTGGGGAAAATACTAATGCTCTGCACTTCCATCCCCTTTGACACCTTTTCCCAGAGAAGATGACAGACAGCTGCTTGAACAGCTGGATGTCATTAGCTGCTGAGAGAGGTGAGATGATGTTTCTTCCAGCAAAAACTACTGCCCATTGCTCCTACCCCTGCTGCAGCAGTAGTGTACTTTTCTAAATCTAGCACAACCAGAAACGCTCTACAACTACCCCCTAACAGCTCGCCTCTCAGTGGCAAGTGCAGCAGGATGAATGGGACTGCTGCTCTTGCTGGAGAGAGGGAGAGGGAGATGGCAGCTGTTTGCATAGGATGAAGCAGCTATTGCAGCTGCTAGTAGGAGGCGGGATATGACTAGCTGCTCAGCACGTGGTGGTAAGCGCAGGCTCTGGATCCAGCTCATGCTGCTGAAGTTAGAGCCTCTTTTATTGACAAATAAATTGAGCTATTTGAATGTGGTCCTCTCTGGTGTCACTTTCTATCTTCAAGGGATGCTCTCCTACATGTAAATAAATGGCCTTTACAGGGGAAAAAAATGCAGTCGTGGCTCTAAGCTCTGTTCCTTCCCACCTCTTTGCCCTGCTTGTGCCCTGTTTATTGAGGCAGACTGTAATCTTACCAAGGAGTCATCTTGAACAAGAAATGTAATCAAAGTGAATCAGAAGGGGAAAACAGAGGTTGTAATGTATCTCTGTGGATTTTAGAAGCTCTTGACAATAGACATGCTGAGATAAACAAGGTGAATAAAGTGCTCGTGAATCATGAAAAGATCAATGGATTGTTCTGGTTCTATTGAGTATATCTTATTATTTGCATTATATGCCATGCAATGTGGTATTATGGTAGCTATTAGAGGCCTAAAATGACACAGTTGTCTCTTAAATCCAGAGATAATCCAACAGAAAAGCGCACAAATAACCAGCTGTGTCTTTAGCAGAAAGTTTTCTTTATAAAGGCTTCTGAGGTGTTGTGAGTTGATGCCAGCCAGCAGCCAAGCACCCATGGAGCTGCTTGCTCACTCCCTGTCCCCAACAGGACAGGGGGGAGAATAGAAAGAGCAAAAATGAGGGAACTTGTGGGTCGAGATAAGGACAGCTTAATAAGGGAAGGAAAGAGGAAAAAAAGTGAAGCAATCACTCTTTACCTCCCACAAGCAGGCCAATGCACAGTGAATGCCGAAGCAATGACTACCCTGGAAGCCACCCCCCACCTTCCTCCTCTATTCCATCTTTTTATTGCTAAGCACCTGTGTCACACACAAAAAATAATCAATTTAGGCATTTTTGTGTCTAAATGCCCTGAGGGGCTATTAAAAACCTGGATCACACCTAGCCCAATGGAATAAGTCAAATTCTCCTGCAAAACACAGCCAGCCTATGCTACTTTAATTACTCCCTGGGCATGACAGTGGTCAGGACTTCACCTACTCTCTTTTCAAGTCCTCAACTATTATGGAGCCTGAGTTTCTTATCCCAGCTTCAAGGGCTGTTTATGCATTTTGGTATTTAGTTATAATGTATTCAAGTAGAAGCACAGGTCAAGAGAAACTTGTGAGTATTTCTGCCTTTACTAAAACAGGCTCGAAGGATGTAAAAAAATATTCCAGAATAAGAGAGAAAACATGAACCATTCACCTTTTGTACTGATGTTCTCCTTTAATTTACAGTCAGTCTGTCTGCAGAGTTGCTTCAAATTTCTTCTCTTTAGATGCACCTCAGGTTCATGACCACGTTAACGTTTTCTCCCAATAATTAATTAAAATTATAAGGTTTTAACAAACAGATGACTAAACATAAATCTGAATAATCCTCTTTAAATCCATATGCGTGCACTAACATCTCATTTGATCTTTTTATGCCTGCTGCAGTAATCAAAATCTAAGATAAAAGCTTTAACTGCCAAAGGATTTTGTGTCTGTAGTAGCATCCTAAGGTTTGCAATTTGCTGTTGTATAGTTGACCAAAACCTGTTGACTACTTTGAAGAAAACAAACCCCTCTAAGATCTATCAGTTAACTTGGTAGCTAGTTTTGCAGCACAGTGTCATGCTCCAGAGGATTTTCAAGTGCTTTATGATTCATATTATTTTCTTGGAACTGTAATTTTACTAGAAAGCATGGTATTATGCTGAGGATGGTCACATTCAGGACAAATGTAGAAAGCAACCAGATCCATTCATACAGAAAGAGATTACAGGAGAGCAGCTAAGACCTGCACTAGTAGGAGCAAAGACACAGAATGAGAATCCAGGGCACTGTTTTGGTGGATCTGTCAGTACGAGAGTGAGACAGGAGCAGCAAACAGTAGACAGAGAAGCACCAGGGCACCACCAGAGAAAGTGATATTTTGTGACTTGGATTAAAAGTAAAGACAAAACTTGGGCAGAATCTTGGTTTGAGAACAGTATTTTTGGAACGGGATCCAAGGAAAATGTTTCCTTAATTCCACGTGGTGTTCACGGAAATGCATGCCCCTTTGATAATTTACAGTATTGAAACCAAGAAATGCTTGATTCCATCACCAAGGACAAGTCTCAAGGATCCTATACACAGCTAACTACAATAGTCAAAAAAAAAAAAAAACTATACTAACAGCAATCCTATCTGTACATTATGTTCTTTCACAAAGCTCTAGATGTTTGGGTGGGAGGGGAGATGTTAAATAACAAAGCATGTTTGGTTTTTTGCCACCTATCATGGTCTGATGATGACGGCAAGTGTCTCTGTGCCCTCCAAATGCAACTCCAAACACATCACTGAGTCTCTTCAACACAAATCCTTCTGGGGGTCCTTTTACCTAAATGTAGAATGTCCTTCTATCTCAGTGTAAATAATGGTATTTATGCATTTGTGCTTATCATCTTGGTGCCACATGCCTCTTTTACTCTCCTACTAAAATATTGTTCAAGCTCTGATTGTCTCCTACATTATTACTTTAAACTTCCTCTCTTTGGTTTCCTTGGATTTCAATTTCCCTTATTCAAGATGTCAAAAGCATTTTAGATGGCAAAAATCATTTGTCCTTCTGCTGCCCAAGCAAACATCCAGTTCATCCTCTAATATATGCAAATTTAATTCAGTGCAAGTTCCCTGGCCCAAGTCCTTCCCAAATAAATTTAAGCAATTAACTGAGGTACCTAAATGAAAAGAGCAGGCCACCTTATCTTTGCCAGAACTTAAGAAAATAATTTTAACTGCTTTCCTGCCGCTGAGGAAAGAACTGAGGTTTGTGGACCAGCAGCTGTATGTCAGCCCTCAAACAGTAGCAGATGTTTCCCCATCCCTAGAATCCCCTAGTGAGAGCAACAGCTGCAGGTTCTCCCTTTGACTTTTCATCCCAAGTCATTCTCTAACTTTTCTTCCTTCTTCTCATGGTAGGAGAAACGTGATCTTGTCACCATCCCTGGAGCAGAAAAATTATGAGTTTTTGCACCCCTTATTAGCCACAAGCTAGCTCTGATAGGGGACACAGGTAATCCACATTAGGACTAAATACAGCCCTGGCGGTGCAAGTAGACTTCAGCCCCTAAAATTGTTCACAAATCACAGTTAGACTTCCCTGAAACAGGATCGTGGTCCAATCCTATTAGTAAAACAGGTTGTTGCATATACCAGTACCTTACAGTCTGGTTGTTTGCCTATACCACTTTTTCAGAACTTTACTTGAGCGTATTAATATATTCTCTATATAAAGACTGTATTATTGTTCTCCTGCATAGTGACCCTCAGAACAGAAAGGAAATCATAATTTCAAAAACATTTTCACTTAACTCCTCCTCTTTTTTTTACTCCTAATTTACAAACAGGCTTTGTATATCACAAAGATCTATTCAAGAATAAATCGTAAGTTACCTTATCTCTAGGCTGCTGATTCCATTCACTGGCTTTGTGTATTTTAATGACAGTCTAAAAATAAGAAACAGATTTTTAATGTTAGAGTAGTCAGCTTTAATTAGATCATTGTGACATTTCAATCCGAGGGAATATTCTAAATCAATGGGCAATTACAAAAGTCATATAGCAAAGTTTCAGTACACAGAAAAACATGACAAAATATTTATAGAGTTTTTTTTATCCAAGAGCAGGTGCTTCAAAGTAAAGGAAAGCAGAGATCATGTTTCATTAATGTACTTCCAGCTGAATTACTACCTAGTAACTGGCAATACTTCCCTTTAAGGGAATTTACAATGAAATGATGATCTCATTAATGCCAGTGGAGATTTCTGTGATCGTGAGACCGGGCACAGGGAAACCTGTTTGGACCAAATATAAACAAACAAGAAAGTACGGAATGGAAGAGGAAAAAAAATGTGAAAATAAGAGGCTGCATCTGAACAATTTTTGTGGTCTTGACTCAATCTTTTTCTTCTAAGAATATCCAATTTAGTATTTTTTATTTTGGATGCTTTAGAAGAATAAAATTAAATTAATATTAACTTGACATTGCACCATTTCTGATTAGTTTTCAGAATCACATGTATTACGATACGAAATTTCTTGTGCTACTCACGTTGTGTTGATGTCTGAGCACTCAGAGGAATAAATATCCACATTCTGCGTGACAAATGTTGCATTTGTCAAATCTATAAAAACTGAACTGTTGGCTTTGAGGCTGAAATTACTAGCATAAAAAAGGATGCATATATCATTTCCAGTGGTCACATTCAGAGGAGGATATGATAAACTGTCTTCTTCCTCAGTGGCCATTAATTGCCGTCTTAATTCCCCCACCACATCAGTTCTTCTAGAAATCTGGAATAACAGCACATTAACAATTCATCTCCTTGGTAAGAGATAATATCAACTGAACACAGACCTTCACCATTCTGTACCATGAGCGCCCATCCTTTTTAAAACCTCAACCAACTTCAATATTTATTATTGTCTGTCTATTTAATTGGCAGTATGGAGGCTAATGAGGTGGTGTTAACCTAGGTTCCCATGGTCAGGTGTCCACGTGTGAAAACAAGCACCACTGATATTAGGCAAATGAACGTAAAACCATGTTGTTAATGCTGCCTTAAGATAGTAGTATGCATTAGTGCTAACAGGTAAAAAAAAATTTTTTTTTACAGAAGAATATACTGAAAGAAATTAACTTTTTTTCTGCAATAAAATCACAAGAAAATTCTAATTTGCCCATTCAGTGACCACCCTCGTTAGTAACAATAACAGTTTTTGCACTCTTCGTTTTAACAGGCATGAAAGCAGCCTACTTAAGTACAGCAGTGTTATATTTAGACTCTTATGATGATTTCTGGAAAAAAGAAGATCTATGCTCATTTGGCTGATGTGGTGAACTCCTACAAGAGACTCCACTGCATATATACATTTGCTTTTAGGAGGTTTCCAGGAATTCCCTTTAACAGCTAATGCTTTTTTACAAATGTGCCCAGGGCATCCTTAGTAAAACAGCCCCATTGATATCAACGGTAAAAGCTAGCTGACCTTGTCAGATGATAACAATCCTGTTGTTCACATCTTACTCTTCACTTCTTACTCTGTTCATATCTGGGCTAGTCCATCTATTTTTAAGACCCATTTCAGCTTTACAACTTTATGTTCTACAAGTGGCCTCTGCCCTTGGATAACTTTGGGATACAAGAAATGAGAGGCATCACATTACCAGAAGGTAATGTGGGGTTACCAGAACTATAATTAGGTGGAGCTATTGCCTGGAACCACTTTTAATGTGTTTAAAGACAGGCGAGGACCATTTTCCAGTCTGGAGCAGAGGCTATAATATCACTTTATAACCTGCCTGTGGAGAGGAGCCCCAGAAGATTTTGTCACCTTAACCGCTGCTCTCTAAACGCTATGGGCCATCTGTTATTTACAACGTGTCTCTGCAGATACCTCATTTTACGAACAAAGCAGAATGGGCTGAGTTAAAAACCTTTGACTAAACGCTCAAATGAAGATTGCAATCTTCCTCTCCCATACATGCATACTTTATGAATTTCTTTTTAATTCAGAGTAGTGCCTTTTCAAATACATCAGAACATGCATTATTTTAAATGAATACAATTTTCTTTAAGAGAAGAGTGTACAACAAAAGAAAATATTCAACTTTTGATATAAAACTTTTAACCTTCCCTTAGGCTTTTCTGAAATGTAATCATTTTATTTCAAACTGAGAGGAAGAGCTGAAGGCTAAATTATATCCTGTCTAACAATTGACTTCACCATGTGGGCCCCGCATATCATCTAAAGAGGACTTTAAAAACCACCTGCTAATAGCTGAAAACAAGGTTTCACTGGAGACTGTGATTGGGCTAACTTGGGAGATTAGGTTTAAGTATCTTAAAATAAAAAGAAAGCTATTAGAATATAATCATGAGACTACAGCTTTATTTCTATTGCTTTGCTGCCAGTACTTTGTCGTGAGACTCTCACATAAAGATTCCCTTTCGTCTCTGAAAAAGCACAAGAACCGAAAGAGCATTTGCCTGTCAAGAAGGGATGTCAGGGACTAAGAAATCCACTAGTTTCCCATGGTTAAACCTGTTTTAACAAATTTACCCATGCTAAGAAGGGAGGCAACACAGCTTGCCAAACACATTTCTAAAATCGGGCTTTGTTTCGGTCATATTTGTGGCTGAAAATAACAGGCAGTCATGGGCTGTGCAGCCCAGCGAGTCCTTACCTGCACAGCTGTAGGCAGGCAGGACGACTACACCAAATGGGAGCCTGAAAGTATCAGTCCTCTGGAGAAATGTCCCCCAAACAATTACTGGCATGTATATTCATCCCTTCAGCCTGAAGATGCATTTCTGTAAGTAAGTTACGTATGGGTGAGGTAATTTAGCACATTCGAAATCAGAAAGCATCACCTCACTGAGATTCGAGAAAATTTGGACTTGAGGCTGGAAGGAGGATCTCTGAAACAGCCCAACGTGGGACCCACTGGAGACGTGAAGACGGCAGTCGCTCCTTCCAGCTGACCTGCAGTGGGAAGCTGAGAGCTCCCCCAGCACATCCCTGCCTCTCTGTTTCAGGCACATTTTCTTACTCTTTTGTTGCTGCACAAACATGAGCTTACTGAATAAAAATCATTCTCCCCATGCCATATATTTCGTGCTAAACTATAAATCACAAGATACTTCCTTGAGAAATGGATTATATTTACATTGAATTCTTGTAAATCAAATTAGGTTATTTAGGAACAATCCATAGTGGCAGTGTTGTCAATCATTAAACCATATTTTATTCTGTTGTTTAGTGCCCCCTTCACCTTTACCTAATCTGAACCATGGGATGTGTGAGTCACTGTCTTGTTCCTCTGGATTTATCAATGACATTTTTGGTGTCAGATATGAGTGAACTATCACAAGACCCGATTAAATAAGATACAGAAAAGAAAGGGTGCCATTTACCTTGTCCTAGACCAGAATTGAACACTGTAATTACTAACTGAACCTGCAATAGAAGTAGCCTGGACAAAATTCTTCCCTTTGATCTGTTTTGCAAGCCTCCTAATTCAGAATCATCTCTTTGGAAAGGAGAAAGACAGCTGATCTGGCAACACTTTGATGCACCAACATACTGATCTTTTTCAAAGCAAACAGACCTTACATCCAAAATTATTCATTTGTTTTGTTGTTGTTGCTGGGGTTTTGTTGGCTGCTCCAAAATAGAATGGCTAGAGACAAGAAAAAAGATTTGGGGCCATTTTATATATTTGAAATTACAAACAAATATAAATCGAATGGTTGCAAACACATACATGAAAAACAGAAAATACTGGGAAAATAAAATTTTCATTGGCTGAAACGATGAATGGTAATGAACCATAGAAGCAGGCTACATTTAACACTAGTTTCAATATGGGAATTTTGGATATCAGTTCAACAGATGGTTATGCCTTCTTTTTCAATCTTGTGCTTCTTGATTTTTTTATTGCTAAGTTTAGGTGTGCACATCAGGAATAAGAAAACCGTCCTGGTGGTGCTTGTTGCTCCTTTTCATTTCTAACAGTATGGATCTATGGCCACATCTTCTCTGTGAAGAGAGATGTAACAGCTAGGGGAAAGGGAAGGTCTTTCTGTATTTTTAAGGAGAGAGGCAAGGAGGGAGAAGGGTCCGCTCCTTTTCTCTTTGTAGGTTGTATCTTAGCCTAGTCCCTGCCTCCATACTGTACTGTGCACTACAGTGCGTTCTCTGTATATACTGTACTTAGATGGAAAATGGTAATTTTTCCAAATTTAGTCACAACACAATTAAACCAGTTGTTGGAATCACAAAACTACGTAAAAATCTTAGCTTCTATTAAAAAAAAAAAGTACAGTGTAAGAACCAGATATTGCTTAATAGTATTAAACTTCACAAATGCAGAAAAAAGCCTGAAAATATTTAGGGCATGCAGGTATAGACAAAAGCACAAAATACGTTGTGAAAGGGGAGGTCAAAGAATCCTTTTGGGTCACTTGCGATGGCTTGAATTATGAGGTGCAATGTCTGAGGAGGGGAGGGCAGGCACTGCAACTGCTACCATAGCACCCCACAGACAAATGCCTGCTATCTGAACTAGGTTTTGGTTTTGGTAGCTTGAACTGCATCTACCCATAATGTACCATCAGTAATTCTGTTGACAGGATACCAAGTTGACTGTACACTTGAATTTTCTCAATTCACTTTAACAGGAATCTTTACAATCTTTTTTTGCAAGATATCATTTAAAAATGACGCTAGGAGGCTGCTGAGTGCTGAGTGCAGGGGTGCTGCTCCCAGCAGAATGGCATATCATGCTGCTTGCTGGGGTTTGGCTGTGGCACATCACAATCATAGAATCATGAATCATTAAGGTTGAAAAGACCTCTAAGATCATCAAGTCCAACCGTCAACCCAACACCACCATGCCCACTAAACCATGTCCCTAAGCGCCTCATCTACATGTCTTTTAAATACCTCCAGGGATGGTGACTCTACCACTTCCCTGGGCAGCCTGTTCCAAGGCCTGACCACTCTTTCAGTAAAGAAATTTTTCCTAATGTCCAGTCTAAACCTCCCTTGGCGCAACTCGAGGCCATTTCCTCTCGTCCTATCGCTAGTTACTTGGCAGAAGAGACCAACCCCCACCTCGCTACAACCTCCTTTCAGGTAGTTGTAGAGCACGATGAGGTCTCCCCTCAGCCTCCTCTTCTCCAGGTTAAACAGCCCCAGTTCCCTCAGCCGCTCCTCATAAGAATTGTTCTCCAGACCCTTCACCACCTTTGTTGCCCTCCTCTGGACACACTCCAGCACTCACATTCCACCAAATAACAGCACATTTCAAATCCTTTTTCTGAAATTACCATTTCAGTTTCCTTCCCACTGAAACAGATCATGTTTTCTAACTGATGTAGCATCATGGACTCACTACAGACAGCATCACCACCACCCCTGCTGATACATCAGTTTTTCTGAAAGGTACTGTACCACAAATCTGTGATGCAGGCAATGGGTGCTTGTATCTCCCTGCTAAAGGTCAAAAATTTGAAACACAAGCATTAGAATTTGCTATAACCACAAAGACGTTCTTTGCAGTGTCACGTTTATAAAATCACATGCACAGCAAGCAGAAAGAATGTATTTGATTACACTTACTTCATTCATCTGTCGGTGCAAGACTGTAGCATAACAGTGCTTTGAGATGTCGAAATCTAGAACGTTAAGCAAAGAGCTACGCATTATCTCTATTTTTGAGAGTTTGAGCTGTTTACATTTTTATGATTTCTAATGTTTTGTGGGTTTTGTTTTTTTTCTTC